TGCAGCCGCGTGCCTCGGCGCTGCGAGCCGAGGGCAGAGCAGTCGCAGCGAATGCAAATGTCTTCCTTCTCCGGGCGATGCGTCTTTTGCTCCGGCGAGCCGTGGGATTAGGGGAGCAGTAGGCCCTTGTGGAAAGGCCGCTGACAGTCGGCTGCGTTTGGGGTCTCTCTCCTCGTCCCGGCTTTCGGGCTGGCGCGCGGCCGCCAGGGAGCGGAGGGCCTGGTGGGTCTCCCTGCACCTTGCGTGTGTTTATCCGGCCTGTGGACGTCGCCTGGAGCAAGGAGCGGAGGAATGCGGAGCTGGGATCTGCCTCTTCCCAGAGGTGGCTCGGCGGCACAGCCAGACATGGCTCAAACTCGGGCGATTTTTTTTTCTTTCCTTTTTATCGTCAGCATCTTCCACAAGAGCTGTTTAGTTAAAAGCGCGAGTCTATGGCTGTGTGAACATTACCAGCCAGGTGATTTGAGAAGGAAGAGCGAACTACTACTGCTCAAGTATCTTACAGGGCCAAAATACCAGTAGCAGAAGGGAAAGCAACGTGCGTGTGGAGAGGGAATCAGTCCAGCACCCTCATGGGCTTTGCTCGTATCTGTGGGGATAAGGGGTGTTGCATTACCCCCTTGAAGTTGCTGTGCTTACAGGCTTGTTTCACAGCCGAAGAGCAACCATCAGACTGTGGCTGCTGCAGCCTTTCCCGTCTGGGTGATGCTATTAAAGGTGCCCAGAGCAACGCAAGTTGTTTGAGGTTGATAACATCAGCAGGCAGTGCGATCTTGGGGAGTGCGCGATGCAGCTGAGGTCAAGGAACAAAACGCTTTGGGCCGCTGTTTTCCTTGCCTGGCTAGTTACTGTGAATAGCGCTCAGTCAGTGCGGCGGCCTTGGCAGGGGAACGAAAGGACGAGGAGGGGAGAACTGCCCTCCTGAGATAAGCTGCTGAGTGCCCCCAGCACAAGGCGTTTTCCTATGTCTTCAAAGCAGGATCACCGTGAAACCCTTAAAATGCTCTTTTTGTTTAAATGCGAGTCAAAGTGACTTGCGCACTTGCTGTGTTTCTGTCTTTGAAGCACTCCGCGCGGTCAGAGATGGTCGAGACAGATTAGTTTACCTGCGTGGAGGTAGAGGGAATCGCGGAGCGCTGTTGAAGCAGCGTCCCGGCTCGGTGTTTGGTTCCTTGAACTTTGGCGATGTAGTTTGCATAAGGCTTTGGAGATGGAGGGAACGCGTCCAAGGTTAGCGCAGGCTCGGCTCCTTTGTGTGCCCTGCTCAATAGCTTTTCAAAGAAGAGCCTTAACTTGTGTCAGCGCTTGCAGAAAGTGCCAGTGCGCTGCAGAGGAGCTGGCGCGAGGAGCCCGTGAGTGTCCCGTGTTCGGCGCCGGGGAGCTGATGCTGTGGTTTCCCGAAGTCAGAGCCCAGCTCGGCCCTAGAGGAAGGTCTCCGATGTAGCCGGAGGGCACGCTGGCCCCGTGCGTCCTCTGAAGAAGTCACCGTGCTCCTGGCCTTTGCTACACTGCCCTGGGGGCACCTGGAGCGATCCTGTGAGCTACGTAACCAGCCCGGGGGATCTCTGACATATTTATTTTCCCTCTTGTCATTGACTTGGTTAAGGTGAAAAAGTGAAACAGCAGGAGGTAAGAGATTAAGAGATTAAACGCGATCAACTCCGGGTTTAAGTAGGAGCCAAAGTAGTTGAGGGGAAGAGAGCTGTAGCCTTTCTGCAGAAATGTGGTCAGTTTTCCTCCAGGAGTTGGGGTTGTCTGGCTGTGCCGAAGCTCCCTTTTTGCTGCAGTTTACTGGAAATTGGGCTGTCAGCAAAATAACACCAGCTTTGGTCAGAGTGAGGCGGTTCCTTGGCAGAGAGTGGTTTGAAGGCAGAGGTGAGCGATATTGAGCCTTTTACTTTCTCCAGTGTGTGCCTAGATGTTGCTGGGGGATTTTGGAAACCAGCAATTTTGGGGTGCCTTGCCCAGGTAGAAGTGAATATGGGTTCGTCTAAGCAGGGAAAGGAGAGCTCAAGGGCAGGGTGTGCTCTTCTAGATCCCCGGGTCCCATCACCAGTGCATCTGGGCATCGGTTCTTCTGTCTCCCTGGAGTTCTGGAGGTGCCCTTGGATTTGGAAAGCAACTGCTGTCAAATCAGCCGGTCAGCGGAGCCTTTAAACTCCCGGCCGAGCTGAGCTACGTGTGCCCTAGAGCGGGGCGCGATGTGACACTGTGCCTAGAGACTGGTGGCAGAGCAAAGGGGCTTTACAAGCCCTGTCCCTGTCTGTCACTGTGCCCGAGCCGGGCTGTACCCTTGTCGCGTGGCGTCCGCTGTCCCGTGAGATTGGATGACGGTGTCAAAGCAGAGGGAGCGCGCAATGTCTGTCCGGACTGTGGTCCCCTGGTGCGTGCCCCCCTCCTCGCCTGCTCCTTCGCACCTGGGTGCCGGCAGACGGACGTGCTCCGGCTCTGCACACCGATCTGCTTATTCATGCAGCAGAGCTGGAGGGTGAAATGGGCTCCAGCC